TGTTTGATTAAATATTGAACTATAAAGCTGTAAGGGATAAATAAAAAGAGGAAAAGAAATATGAGTAGAATCAATAGAGCTACCATTACTCTTGTCTCAATCTCACAATGTTTCTCATTCTAAAAAAAAACACCAACAATATATAGATAATAAATAAAATATTAGTATCCAGACCCAAGCCTGGAGCTGCAAGCAAATGCCCATTGTGAACCAAATGACAAGTTGAACTCCGTTGGCTATGCCGTAGAGTAGTCCTTTTGAGTCAAATGAACAATGTACTTGCAGCTCCCAATTCTGAAATGATTTAAAATAGGGGAGAATTGTATATATATAGAGGGGGGGGGGGAGGGAGGGATAGAGGGTAGAATTCATAAGTTTCCCACACCGAAGCGTGACCATTTGGCAGACACTAGAACATCCTCCCACCAACCAAAAGGAGTTGTAGTGTCTTTTTAAATAATAATAATAATATAACCACAAGTGTAATCTATAATTATAAAAAAGAGGTTTATTTCTATTGTCTTTAAACAATAGAATAATGGTTAGTGATGTATAATATTTCATAGTAGTGTATAGTCTTACTTTAATTTATATTATATATTTATAAAAGATTTTGGTTCTTTGTCAAAGGATCCTTGAATAAAGACAGAGTGATTGTTGGTCTACGTCATGTCCTCTAAAGGCGTCATTCCCATTGTTGATTGACTGATTGATGATTGTTTAAAATATCTTGATGAATCTAATCGATCGATGGTTATTGTTGTTGGTGTCATGATGAAAATTCTCCCTCCAAAATTAATTACTTCTCTTCATGACATGATAGTGCTGTGCTGTACTGTGTTCTCGCGCAGTACAAGACAAGTAGTAAATATAAATACATCTAGATTTATGAATTCATAACCCATCCTAAAGTTGAATTCATTCATTCATTCATTCGAGACAGACATCCATCAAATGACGATGATGATTGAGATTTAATTTAACTTGTTACCCTATACTACTTGTGTTGATGATCAATATTCACATCATCATCATCAACATGATCATCATCATGACTTTTATATCTCTAAGTATTGTATTGTAATTGTATTGTTCTTATTCTTATGACTCTGTGATGATCATGATGTTTGTTGGCGTTTGTGAATGCTCCATTTGCAAATTTGAACCCAAAATCTCTTAGTTGCTTACTAGTATGAAAAGGTGACACTGATGATAATATTCTTTTGAAGAAAGGAATTAGTATACATCAACAACTACTACTAGTTAATTTCTTATATGCAACTTATTGTGTAGAATTATTATAATAATTCTTTTTTCCATCTTTTGCTTCCTTGTGCATCTTTCTAATGATGTTGATACAACTAAAATCTCTTGGTGACATAAAAACTGTACCATCTTCGTTGATCTTTTCTCCTTTGGGGTCGAGAGTTGTCTTGATACCTCTTCCATGTCTTAATGAGAATGTTGGTTTAAAACGGTCGCCAATTAATCGTTGGTAGACTGTTGGAGGTGTCGTTGTTGTTGTTGTTGCTGCTGCTGGTGATGCAGAGATTGTTGTTATTGGTACTAATGCTACTGATACTGATGATGCTGCTGATGCAGTGATAGTTTGGGCTGCTGTACTCATGATTAATATGCTTAAAATAAAGATAAAAATATATCTATAATATTGATAATTCATTATAAAGATATTATCAATTTAATTAAATAATTAATTGTTTGTTTCAATTGATTCTACACTTTTTTTTTTTTTTTTTTTAAATTTTTTTTTCTCATGAGATAGTGCGATCTTTATGCGTGCCATAGGTGACTGACCTGATACATTGCGAGGTTTGAACATTTGTTTCAAAACAACAACAGCAAATAGCCCCTCTCTCTCATTAATAAATGGATCCTATCAAAAAGAAGAAACAACAATAGAATCATACCCTGATTTGGTATCATACACCCCCCCCTCTCCCTCCTCCTCTTCTCTTACATTTTAGATCTTGGTTCATATAATGAGCCTAATCCGCACCCCCATCCCCCTCCTTATCCGCCTCACTCATATAGTGAATCAACACGCCCATAATCTGACGGGTTACATCAAAGAATGATCGTGCTGTGGCTCACCTAGGCATCATATCCAACCATGACTACCACCCCCTATCCTCCTCCTTATCCCCCTCACTCATATGTTGAATCATAAATGATCGTGCTGCTGTGGCTCACCTAGGCATCATGAATGCCCCCATTAAACGGTGGTGATGACACAGTTCGGGTATTAAGAAACCACCATACGATTATGATATCATTGGGACAACCCCATCTGTATATGTATCACCCCTCACTTTTTGTTGATAATCAACAAAGACAAGAAAACATTTGTTTAAAATAAAATATTATTCATCAAGCTCCAATGTTCTCTATTTAAAGTGTTCTTTTTCTCATCACATCATTATTCATTTTATCTATCTTTTCTTCAATTCATTATCTTTCTGCTATATTGTATTACCTTTATATATTTTTTATATAGGAAGCTTCTAATTGAGGTTCACTATCGCACAGTGGTCATCATGAATGGCCCACTTCCATCCGCAACAGAGACAAGAACAACTCAATACCCTCTCGATCGTCTCATGGGTAAGAAGTGGAATAACGAACAAAACTTGTTTGTGACACATCTCGGCCAATATGCAAGATACTATCACTCTGTTAAGAGGTTAGTAGGCCAATTTTTTTTAATATTTGTATACGACTTTAATAACAGTAAGATATCATCAACCTTTTTTTTTTTTTTTGAACATGAATCATTCAGATAAGTTCATGAACTAATTGATCGATTTCATGTATTTTACTATTTTTAGTGTTTAGTTTGTCCCGACAAGAACTCGAAAAAGTAATACCAAAGTATTACGACATGAGTGTTCTTTCAAAGAACAAAACAAATGAATTATATGAAAAAATGGAAAATCGGTTGACTTTGCCGATTCGATGGGATTCTCTAATTGTGGAGGCCATCATCTCAAAGGTGATGGACATAGACACACGCAAAAGCAGTAATAGTCCAAGAGATTATGTATGTATAACAGTCTGTGACAGTTATGATGTGTAATAATAAATTAATTTTTATTTTATTCTTTGTTTACTCTTTACAGAATTCTGCACAAGATGTCCAAGCAAAAGAGAAAATCGTCAACAAAATGCTATCGAGAACATTTGCCAAACTCAAGGCAGACGAGATGGTTGCAAAATATCAAATCCTCCGATATGCACTCCTTGACCCAGATCTGAATCCAATTGGCTGTTGCCACTCTTATAAAACCGCCTTTGCCAACTCCATTTGCAATAGTTACTCGGCCGAGGTGGCCGAGACCTGCAAAAGGATGGTGGAGAGTGCTTTAGACCGTCAAGATGACCGAAACATATTCCACCACGAGTCCAAGTTGGTGTCGGATCTTCTGGAGGATATACTTGCCAAAATAGATGATGGTGATATCGGTGAAGGGTACCAAGCTCTCAAACTAATATTTTCATCTCAACCATTAAAAGGTATGTCATTGATATTAACACCATCACAGGTTTTTTTTAAATATCTTCTTGCGTCGGTTCATGTAACTCTATCTCTCATTTTGTTTATCTTTTGCTCATACACGTCAAAAGGGGTCGATGACCGCTACTGAGAGGATGGTGGGCAGTTTGCGGAGTGTCGATCAGATTTTTTTTTTTAATATTTATTTTCATTTTTTTTTTCATCTCGAACAACTCACAGAAACCAAATTTAGAGAATGTATATTAAACTATTAAATAACATCTCACACTCAACACAACATTATCAATAGATAGAATACAGCGAGTATTGTTAATAGTTACACTTTTAGTGTAAGAACCCACACATCACTATCATTACTCCTCTTTTACACCATTTCTTTTTGATTATCTTTTGTTTTCATTGGTTTACCAATCAATGCACCACCCATCTCTTTCCTTTTAACTACTCATTGTTGGCCAAGTTCATCTTTACATATCATTGACCTCTTGTGTTCACTCATAAATTATATAATCCTTTTTGATCCAAATCAAGTACCAATCTACCACTCTTTATCGCTCTGCATCCTTTTTGTTGTTCGTTTGATCCACTCTCCTATCCGACAAACTTTCTTTACCACTTAACTTTCCATCAGATACTGCAATCAATCACTACCATTGCTCCTCTTTTACCCTTTCTTGTTTTGATTATATTTGTTTTTATTATCGAGATGCACCACCCATCTAACCACTCGCCTCATTGTTGGTCCCAGTCTTTCCATCAGATCGATAATGCAAAACATTACAATCATTGCTTTTACACCATTTCTTTTTTGTTTTCATTATCCAATCAACGCATCACCTATCTCTTTTGCCTCATTGTGGAGAGAGAGATAGAATTTATAGAGTATAATTGTAATACAGCGCGTATTAATTATTGCAGAGATTAGAGTGATCTTTGATACCTCCATTGATAGCAAGAAGCTCTCTCTATGCAGTGACAGGCCTGTCAAACCTTTTTTTTTTTTTAATTTTAAACCTCTCTAACATTTATTACATTTATCATTATAGATCATAATTTGGAATGCGAAAAGAAAAGGTCAAAATTAAAAGAGGAAAGAGAGGCCAAGCAAAATCAAGAGCCAGCCATTCCCAAGGAAAAAAAAAAGAAGAAACAGTTTTTGGGTGACAAAAGGCCTGAAAACTTTGATGAAATCAATTTTGATGGATCTGTTTATTCAATATCAAATTTGGCCACAGATTTAGAGATTGATAGCAAAAATGTAAAGAAATTAAAGGTTGAAGAACATATATCTGGTGATTATTTACAATCTGAACTCTCATCAAAGTTGGAAGCGTTGATCCAATCATCAACATCAATAAGTGCCTGGAGTGGGTTAAATACCCTCCAATTGAATAGATTGAAAATGCTAAATTTGGAAAATATAATTAATCCGTAACTATTATTATTATTATATCTTTTGTTATTTTTTATTATTTTCATTATAATTAACTAATCAAATGCTTTTTTTGTAATCTTATTTTTTTTTCTATAGAGAGGACAATTCAATCGATTTTTCAAAGTTGACAAAAGATCAATATCCATCTTTAATGGATTTTTGTGAATCAAATGGATACAAGTTTCCAAAAGGATATGACCCTACAGGATTGAAATCCCTCATGACGTCCGATTTGGAGACGATAAAAACTACTCCTTTCGCATTGAATAGCTTTGCACCACAAGCAAAGTA